CTACCTACCTACCTACCTACCTACCTACCTACCTACCTACCTACCTACCTACCTACCTACAAACTGTATTTCTCTTTCTTTCTCTCCCTCTCTATCCCTCTATCTACCTACCTATGTTTTTTTAAAATTTGCCTCTTGAAAGCCTTGGTGCGTCTTATACTCCGAAAGATACGGTAGTTTGGTCCTTGGAAAAGTAGCAATTCTGTATTTTGGCTTCTTCCAAAGACTGCATCTCACCCAAGTAACAGGTCAGAACGAAGCCCCTCAGGGAATCTCTGGGGGTGGGGGAGGGACCCAGGCACAAGGGTGGCTACTTGTGCAGAAGCAGGAAGCTTCCTTTGCTTCCTCTGATCAGAGCAGTCGCGTCTCTGAAAGTTGACCCCTCTGCTCAGGAAAGGCCGGGTCAGGCCGATCAGATCTCTGCCCATCTGGGCCTGAGGAAGGGAGCAAGGCTGCCTTCCACATCCTCCTGGCAGAGCAAAATGTGGGCATTCAGGCTCCCAAGAGCTCCTTCCCAGAGCGTGAAGGGCTCCCTTTGCAGGGCTGGGCTCCTGGAAGGGCCCTGTGGCCGCAGACGGTGCCACCACACGCAGGAGAGAAAGACGGGGAAAGAAAGGGAAGATGGCAGGGTGAGAAGACGGGAACTCCGAGCTTCAGAGTTTTTCAGACGGAGCCCCGGAATCTCAGGATGGCAGAGCTGCTTGCTAGGTGACCTTTCGTCCCCAAGGGACTTGCTGAGGCTTTGCCCATTTTTGCCAGCTGCTGATCGGAGAGGCTTTCACATGCAGCCGCTTCCCTTTTCCCTTCAGCCTCCATTACGCAAGCAGACTCCGGTCTTCACCAAGGACAGGACAGCCTCTGTGGGACGGGCATTTCTGCACAAGTAGGCAACACACCATAGAGCCTGGGTGCAGGGTGAACCAGGCCCTCCGTCCCCCAGGTATTTCCTCCCACAGGGAAGCGGTAAATATTCCGTCCCAGGAACGAATGGGCCAGGGGAACAGGGAGCAAGGAACCCTGCCTTCCTCACAGTCCGCATTATTAAAAGTGGCAGCCATCCCAATGAGGAGGGGTTCAGCTGTGGGCCGTAACTGTTCCTGCCCACCACGGTCCCTCCATCTAGGAAAGTGTCCCTTTGATTGAAAATTGTGGGGTGTGACCCGTTGCTCTCCTGGAGTCTGGATCCAGGGACAGGTGGAGTTCCCTCTTGCAGGGACGGAACCTTCCAGGGTTCCAGGAACATCCTGTTTTCACTGCCTGGGCCACATCCAGACCATGACAAATCCCTTCCTGAGTCAGAAGTTTTGGAAAATTGCAAGCAAGCCCTGCAGATTGGCACATTCAGGCAGGAAAACTGAACATGATGATGGGGTGTTACAGTGAACTAACTTAAAGCCACAGACCTGCCCTCGGGATTGCATTCCACTGCTCAGATCTGTATAGGAGCCAACCTCTGTTTTGGGGGACCAGCAGGACAGATTGGTTCATGAGTTATCGTAAATGGATGGCTTTTAACAAGAACCCCGATAAATCACCAGGGGGCTTGAGGAGAAGTCTTGACTCCTGCGATCGGCAGAAAAGTATTTTGTCGCAACCGAGGGCATAAATTGGTAAATGTGGAAACAGAATGGCCGAATGAGCAGCAGCAGCTCGTGCAAAAAGAGTAGAAAGTGGAGCCTGTAGGTTTTCAACCTTTTAACAGAATAACAGAGTTGGAAGGGGGGCCTTGGAGGTCTTCTAGTCCAACCCCCTGCTCAGGCAGCAAGCCCTGTTTCATTGGTGGGGAAGTTCATCTCTGGCATCTCCAAAGCTCTTGTTCCTCTGACCTCTCTCTCTCTCTCTCTGTCTGTCACAATCTGGTGCTCTTGGGGACATCTCGGCTCTGTCATCCTCAAAAGAGCACCAGATTGTGAGAGACCCGAGAGCGATGAGGAAAGAGTGGCTCTGGCGCTTCCTGGTGCACACGAATGGACCGTCACGGGATCCTGGGTTGCCTTCTGGCCCTTCTGGCTCCAGCTCCGAACACTTGCTGTGACTTGCGCTTCCTCTGTCGGGCTCGATTTCTCAACCGACTCCGATGGGGATCTGACGATGTATTGCTTAGTAATTGCTTAGTGCTTGTGGTTAGGGAAGAGCACGAATCACAGCATGACGGAACTCAAGGGGGCCGTGTAGCCCACTGGAACAAAGTCCTGGCCTCCTGCAGACATAAACGCCTGTTTGGCCTTTGCCCTAAGATGCCCAGTGAAAGAAAATCTAAACCATCATAACGGGTTATGTGGTTCCATTATCCAACTCCTCTCATTTTTAGGATTGTGATGGTGGTATATTAAGTTATAAACGTTCTTAACTGTTATGTACATTAGCAAATCAGAAATGAAAGGATTAATCTAGCAAAAAAAAAAGAAAAGATTCCTTGAGAGACCCATGCTGGTTTCTGGCATTTTTTCAGAGTGCTTTCAGACCATTCTGCATGAGGCTGTGCTGTGGGAAGGACCTTGGGGGCCCCGAGGAGGATCCACAGCTTAGGTGACCTCTGATAGGAAGCAACTCGGTCTGCAGGTGGGCAAAAAGCCTTTCCAGGTTTTTTGGGGACTAAAGAGAGGAAAGGCTTCCTGTGCTTGCCCCACCTGTCCCTGAGGCGGCCTGAGCTGCCCCTCCTCCAGCTGTGCCCGTCTGTCTCCCAAGACTTTTCCTCTGGCATCGGGCTCCGCTTGCCATCTGCGCTCTCGGGGAGATGCTTGCCAGGCTGCCCGGTCTTCAGTCTGCCGGGACTTCTTTCCTGGCCTTCGAAGGGAGGGGCTACTTGGCTTTTCTCCAGCCATTGGCCACAGTTCAGTTAAGAGGAGCCTCCGATCCCTCCTCTCCGTCCTTGGACAGCCCACCGTGCAGCTCCTCTGCTCCTGGAGGTTGGGAGAGGCCTTGCCCTGACCGTGTTTCTCTCAGCTTCAGCCTTCGGTCCAGCTCCCGGTGGCATTTTTCTTTTGGCGACGGGTGAATCAAAATGGGCCCTGAGCAGGCCTGCCTTTTCTCTCTTACCTGTTGGTCTTTGGGCTTCCCTACTGAGCAGAGTTGGCATTTCTTTTGGGCACAGAAACCCTTTTTTATTCTTACCATCCTTAGAATCGCCTCCGGCGAGACACACTTGATAAGTATATCAATCCTTCACCATCCTCATTCTGAGCTTGGTTTTCTTCCCTGGGGTTTCATAGCTCTGGCACACCTGCCCGTCCTCTTCCTCTGCCACCTGAACTGTACTTGTCCTCCTCCTGGCCACTGCTAGCCCAGCAACAGGTGAGGAGGACGGTGCCCATCTCCTGCTTTGTTTCCATTTATTCCTTAGGGTGGGAACTGTGTTTGACGTAAATCCCACCCACCCACCTACCCACCCAAAAAGGAGAAAAGAAAATTGGCTGCCCAGGAAATAGATGCCAGCGATTTGGGTCAAGCTGAAAAGAAGAAATCAGAAGCAGAGCGTGAGGCTCCGGCCCAGACTCTGTAAGGAGCTGGACGATGATCCAACCTGGGGGGGGGGGGGGGGGGGGGGCGGCCACCGGGGCAGCTCCTAAGGCTTGGGAGGGTCTTGCAGTCAAGGGAGGGAATGCAGTCAATGGGAGTGTCTAGTACTGGAATTAAGGCCAAGAAAGTTTGTTGGTTGCGTGCAGTTTTGGTTTCCTTCAAGAAATCCAGTGCTGGAGAGTCCCATTCCTCCAGTGTTCCCACTACTCTAGTTCTTCCACTGAATTTCCCCTGGTGGTTAGCATGGGGGAGCTGACCCCCTTCTTCTGTCAGGAGAGAACTCTCAGCAAACAGTTGAGGAATTCCCCGGGAGGAGGACCGTGCTTGGTGATATCACCCAACGGATGCCGTCACAGGACGACGATGTTCATAAATATCAGCTGGCATCATTTCATGTGACTGAGGAGAGGCGGCCCCTTCACTGGAAAGAAGGAGGAAGTTCTTGTGGCTGCGACTTCCTGCCTGAAGGCAACTCATCCTTTCATGACGGTGACGGCAGAACCATCCGATTCTCCAGCCGTGGCCACCTTAAGGCTTGGGGACTCCCAGATTTCCTCAGCCAGCCTTCTGGGAGTTGACGCCCACAAGCCGTAAAGTAGCCAAAGTTGGAGAAGCCTGAATTCTAGTCCAGCACCTTGCCCAGCACAGGGCTGCCCCACTGTCCGCCTAGCATCCCCACCAGGCGGCCTTTCGGAACGGCTCCCTCCAAGAGGGAACTGGGCCGCCTCCTGAAGTTTCTCTTCAGTGGCTGAACATTTCCTGAGCTCCAGCCAGAATCGGCTTCCCTGCAATGGAAGCGCCTCGATGCCTGAACAATCCTGCCCTGCCTTCCCCATAACGGCCCTCCAAGTATCTAAGGACAGCACTTCCAAGGCTCCTGGGCTTCCTCCGACGGCGCTTCCTGGCCACGAGAACTCAGCTAGTCCTCCTCTCAGCTGCCTTTGATTGTCCCTCCAGAAGCCTCTGGGGAGGTTTTGGGATCTTGCTCTCCTGGCCAGGTTGTCCTTTATTGCGTCCCTCCTGTCCGAAGGCTCTGAGGGCTCCATCAGCACCAGGAGGGCCCAGGCCTTCTGCCAGCCAGGAGCAGAGCTGGCCGGTGTTGGCTTTGTCTCGCCTCCTTCCTGCCCGAATGTTCTCGGCTGAACCCCTTCCTGGGTCACCTTCCTGGGTCTCATGTTCCCTCTTCCTCCTCCTCCTCCTCCTTCTGCTCCTCCAGAGGGATCCTTCCCGTGAGGTCCGAGGGCCAGCTGCTCCTCCACGGGAGCTTTGAAGGGGAGGGGATCCCCTCCCGTCAGTCTCCCGTCGCTTGGCGTCTCTTGCAGGAATGCTACGCTAAGGAACTCAGCCCGGAGAAGGAGAACCTCATCCTGCTCAACAAAGCGGAGCTGCTGGGGGAGGAGCAGCGCTCGGCCTGGGCCCGGTTCTTCCAGCGGGAGGGGGTCCGCGTGGTCTTCTGGTCGGCCTTGGCAGAGGGGAGCCGGCTGGGGGCCACCCCTGAGGTGAGAGGAAACCGGGGCTTGGTTGGTGGGTGAAGAAGCCCTGCTCGGCCTCCCAAAGGCCCCCGGGGGGTATGTGGCACCCAAACCTTCAGCTGCCTCGAGCCTTGAACTCCCGGCCCTGCCTTGCGTGGACCCCCTGGGCTGGCAAGCTCTCCTGCCTCCCCCTTCCCTTCCCCTGGCCCCCTTCGGCTCCCCTCCGGCTGGGGAGGGCCGCGTGCTTTACACCCGCCTCACCTGGCCAAGGAGCTGCCCCGGGGGGGGGGGATGCATGGGGTCTGTTTTGGGGGGAAAGTGGGGGTCTCTTCTGCGGCTTTTGGCCACAGGCGCCCCCTTTTCTTCGCTGAGGAGCTGGAAAGCAAGGAGGAGGAGACCACCCACCGAAGGAGCCCCCCCGGCCCCCAGCAGGAGAGCGACACGGAGGAGGAAGAGGGTGAGGTGTATGAGGACTGTGAAGAGGAGGAAGAGGAAGAGGAGGAAGCCTGGCTGACCTGCTCTGAGGATGGGGAGCACGAGAGCCCCGTTGCGCCCGTGGGGAGAAGCAGGCCTGAGCTCTCACAACCCCCACCGCCCCCCCAGGGCCCCCCCGTCAGAAACAGCAGCCGCCTGGTACAAAGAGAGGAGCTGCTGGAGATACTTAAGGCCGTCCACGCTGGGAGGAAGAAGGTCCGGGAGGGAGAGCTGACCGTTGGCCTGGTGAGTTCATGGCTGTCCTGGGGAGACTCTGGCCGTCAGGGCCTCCTCCGGTGGAGAGGGGGGCGGGGGGGGGGGCTTGGGAAAGGGAAGGTGGCG